GCTGGAGATTTACATCCCATGGCCTTTGGTGTCCACATGATAACGAGGGATCTCCCTGTGGATACATCAACTTTTTTCCCCATTCTCCGTTTTGGCTCCCGTGTATATGTTGACAGTTTTCTGCCATCTGATTTTACCATTAGAGCTTAGTTGATACGGTCTGTCGTGAACTGCGTGCGTTCGCAGAGTGGCCCGCGGGGAACTGCGAGTTTCCGCCCACGCGGGGGTACCCAGACGGTCCCGAGATCGGAATTCCCGGGCAAAGCCGGGCCACACTAGACCCGGATCGGATCGGTGCTTACGACCTCCCCACATGGATCTTGCCGGGCCCCGGTTCACCGACTTCAAATCCCGTAATGACTCAAACCCCGGCGGTTCCTTCGGCTTCGGATGGCTCCCAAGGTTGGCTCGTCGTCACATAAGCGTTGCTCTTTCGCTGTTTGGTAGCACGTCCTGAAATTTACGTACCACACGCCACGCCGCTCAGATACAGCCAGTCGAGAACTCACTCATTCAACAAACATCATGGCATCCCCTGAATTCCACGCCCGGCTCCGCGCCGCACTGCCGGATGGCGACCAGGCTGCGACCCTCCCGCCCTCGACGGCGCTCTCGACCGCCTCCAAGTCTCTCCCCCGGCCCGGCGGCGCGGGATACCTCGCGCCGCTGGGCACCGAGGCGACGCTCGCGCACATCCTCGACGAGATCGTGCCCGGGCTGAACGGCCAGGCGCGGAGCGGGCGGTACTACGGCTTCGTGACGGGCGGGACGCTGCCCGTGGCCGAGGCCGCGGACAACATCGTCACGGCATTCGACCAGAACGTGCAGGTGCACCTGCCGAGCCAGACGGTTGCGACGGAGCTGGAGAGCGTGGCGCTGCGGATGCTGGTGGACGTGCTTGCGCTGGAGCAGCCCGGAGAGGAGGAGGTGTGGAAGGGGCGGACGTTCACGACGGGTGCGACGGCGAGTAACGTCCTCGGTCTTGCGTGCGGGCGGGAGGCGGTAATCGCGCGGCGCGGGGGTAATGTGGGCGAGATGGGGATTCTGGGGGCGTGTGCGGCGGCGGGGGTCAGGGAGATTCAGGTGTTGACGAGCATGGGGCATAGCTCGGTGTTCAAGGCGGCGAGCGTTGTCGGGCTGGGCAGAGGGGGTGTGAAGGAGGTTAGAGTGAGTGACGACGAGCCGTGGAGGTTGGATTTGGAGGCTGTCGAGAGGGAGTTGGGTCGGGAGGGCGTGGCGAGTATCATTGCTGTCAGCGCGGGAGAGGTGAACACTGGCCGGTTCGCGACTGGTATTGAGGAGATGAAGAAGCTGAGAGAGCTGGCGGACCGGTTCGGGGCTTGGATCCATGTGGATGGAGGTATGTGTTACTCCTGAGTGACGTCTGGAAGGCGATGCTGATGGGTGAAGCGTTTGGTATCTTTGCGCGGGCGTTGGACGACAGCCCCGAGTTTGCCAAGATCAAGGACATGGCAGCCGGGCTGGAACTCGCGGACAGCATCACGGTGGACGGGCACAAGCTTCTGAACGTGGTACGTCATGTCAGCCTCTTAGCCCCTTTTCCGAAAACCCAAGAGATACTAACCGTGTCCACCAAGCCTTACGATTGCGGCATGTTCTTCACGCGGTCCCTTGGAACTCTCACGTCCGTCTTCACCAACCCCAACGCGGCGTACCTCTCCTCGGGCCCATCCAGTATCCCGTCCCCACTCAACATCGGCCTCGAAAACTCGCGTCGCTTCCGCGCGCTGCCCGCCTACGCCGTGCTCCGCTCCGAAGGACGCTCCGGTCTCGCCGCGATTCTTGGAAGAATGGTCCTGTTGGCGAGGAAGATTGCGTCGTGGATCCGCGAGTCGGAGGCGTACGAGCTGCTGCCGGAGGGGGGTTGGAGCGTGAAGGACACGACGCACATGGTTGTCCTGTTCCGTGCGAAGGATGAGAGTGTTAATGAGGAACTTGTCGGGCGAATCAATGGCACGAGGGAGATGTATGTTAGCGGGACCAGCTGGAAGGGGAAGAAGGCGGTCCGGGTTGCGGTGGGCAGCTGGAGGGTTGATGTCGAAAGGGACTTTGAGGTGGTGAAGAGGGTTTTGGAGCAGGTCAAGGGGTGAAGGGCTGGTGTTGCAGAGAGGGAATTTCAGTCACGTCTTCCGTCCCGCACTTGTGGTCCGTAGATTTCACCTGCGGTTCCCGGTGAGGAAGGCGTGCCCCTGAATCCGCTCCTTCCCTCCCACGCCTGCCTCACCCCATATTCACCTTCACCTTTTTCATCCCAACCTCCCACGCGTCACGCGCCCTCGCTACCGTAGAATCAACAGAAGCGCACCCTGCCCTACTTTGTTCCAAGTCGTCTAGAGACTATCACCACTAGAAGGCATCTTGGTCAGGCGGGACAAGTCAGGTCAAACTAGCTGGTGAATCGCCAAGGTCGACCGTTCGAATCCCGATCGAAGCCTACTCGACGACAGGCTACCCCCCGACCGATACCTCACCGATCCGAGAGATGCCGCACCGAACGAGCGATGCCACACCGATCCGAGTGATGCCGCACCGATCCGAGCGATGAAGATATCCCAGCATGAGCACCAAGAGATGTAGCCCACACCGGTGGGTGAACTCTTTTGACCCTTTGATACTATTGGTCCATGCTATTTCACCTGCGCTTACAGGTCTAGAAAGTGCGCTTGCGCGATGCGCTGCTGAACGAAGGAGGTTGTCGCAAGAGTTATTGCGACGTACTGTCGCGACGCGCAAGCTCGCACCTTTGTGGTGTTTACTCTCTACTCTCCCGACACTCCATGATTGTTCCCTGACAAGAGCTGCGACGAGGATAAGTTCACAGAAACCGTCTGGCGAGAAGATAATTCTCATTTCTACAGATCATTCGTGCGCTTTCTGCAGTGGCATACGTCTTGCGAATGCCATCCCTGCTGCTTGCATTCGCAATTCGTCTCGCTCAAGGAGGATGTGACTTCTTACTCACGCACACAGGTCTTGAGATTGAAGATACCCGCGACGACATTGCTCGCCAAGTTTCACACTGTCACTCTCGCAACAGCGTATCACCATTGACTGTCGCAAGCGCAAGCGCAGGAAATATTGCTAAATGTACAGTTTATTCATCACCCTATGATACAAGTCTAGGCGTCCAAGATGCTCTCCAGTGGCACACTCCAATACCAGCTGGCCACTCCCATCGCACCCATGCTCATCGTGAATGCCATCAGGAAATTGACGTCATTGTTGTCCAGGAGATCCCATCCAGTCTCAATCACACGCGAAGGCTGCGCGTCGCCGAAGCTAGACTTGCGGTGCTTGTCCTTGGGATCATATCTCGTAGCGTCTGCACTCATCTCAGGGGCGTCAATGTCCTCAATGGCGCTGTCCGTCTTCTCCATCTTCTCCACAGCGGCCTTGCCCTCTCCGTGGAGCACCGCAGCCTTGACCGCGGCGCGCTTCTGGTTCTTATCGGCGTGGTCCGAAGAGTCGCCGGAGATCAGAACCTTGGTGCCGCCCTCGCCCTCGACAATCTTGCCAGATCGCACATCCTTGACAGAGCGTTGGAAGACGGCGCCGAGTACACTGTCGAGAAGACTGCCAAGGACTCCCCAGGCAGTCAGGCCGAGCATGAGTGTCGACCGCTGCTGCGTCGTCCAGCCACTGAGTCCACCGCCGACCTTCCCAGCAGTGCCTTCGCCGCAAAGAGGGAGGAAGACCATCGAAGTGGTGACAATGATCATAGATCCGAGTGCTCCAGCTGCAATTCCCAATGGCGTCACACCTCCATTCGTGCCCCGTGGGACCTTGCGGAAGGTAGGGGATGTAATCAGTCGAGGTTCGCTCTTGGCCAGAATGCCCAGCTCAGAGCTGAACGTGTCGGCGGCGACGGCAGCGTAGTTGGCAATGATACCGATGACGAGGAGGTCTCCTCCCCAGGAGAAGCAGAGGGTACCGGAGGGGTTCGGGGTCGTGGTGTCCAGGATTGCATCCTTTCGCTTGTTGAGTTGGTAGGCGTGGAGAAGGGTCAGGCACGAGGCCATGAGGGAGTTCGCGAAGACTGTATTGCCAAGTATTAGATCGGTTCGCATACTCGAAAGGGCCTTTGGGAACGTTCTGACTGACCTTGGACATGGGTTCGCGGGCCTTCACCTCCCGGCGTGCCTTGGGAAGCGACCGTCAAAGTGGCCTTGATATCCTTCTTGACCTGCTGCTTGTGAGAACTTGCCGCCCGACAGAAACAGCGCACATACCTTGGTGGCTCTTGTACCAGCGAGAAAGAACACGCACAGCAAGGCGAAAGGCAGGTTCCATGGGTGGTAGGCATGGGCGATGGCAGTAATGACAGCTGCCGCTATGCCTGCGGGGGTCAGCGACTGGTGCGACCAGGCTCGATAGACGAGGGCAAAAGTCGCCGGGACGGCGTAGATCGCTTTCATCGTGGGGTTTGGTCGACAGTCGCGATGTTTGGGGAAAGTTTGGGGTGTCCTTGCGACCTCGAAGGTGTGATGGACCGAAGTTCCTGTCCTAGCCAGACGGGTTGGACTGGTGCTTGCTTCAGTGAATAGACGTCAGCTCCACGTGACGTCAGTCTGAACGCTGAGGCAGGAGCTCTCAAGAAATCGGGGGTAAGCTTTGGACCCCTGTTACTCCCCCAAAACGTCTCGCGTGTACCTCCGCACGGTCCACCGAACGGTCCTTATTCTGTTTAAATGCACCAAAAGTGTGTGGGATGGACCCCGGTTAGGAGCATCAAGCTCTGCGATCCCCTCCACTCTCTATGGTTCTTTGATGTAGAACCAACAAGATCATCTCGTCATTTATTTTAGGCTAGATATTTTTGGTTATAGATCTGCAATTTTCTTCATCGTGTAACCGTCGCAATACCCAGCCTTGCGACGCTACGCGTTGATACTTAAATATTCCAGCAGCCAAGCTCGCTGTATGATACCTATCACAATCTGAATCAACCCCGACGTCTTCTAAGCTGTGACCACAAAGCCATGACGGAACAATTCTCCGCGGCCACCGAATCTTCTGCGATTGATGCTGCGCTGGATCACCAGGAGCAAGCGCCATTTTTTTGCCTTCCCTGGGAAATCCGAATCGTCATCTACGAACTCGCATTTCCTCGTATCAACTCACCACAGCTCATCTACACTGATGTCGGAGGCATACCCTCATTCAACGACATCAGCAATATCCCCTCCGGAAGCCCTCCACAATTGAAACGAATCGCTTGCAACGGCGTATTCGAAGACAAGGGAATCGAGATCAGGGCACAACGTTTCGCTGCACGCTTTGAAGCCGAAAGAGTCGACGACAGGAGCGGGTTCTGCCAGTCTGTTCTGGACTTGATCAGGCGCCCTCACGATGAATCCATTTACCCACTCCCTCTATTGCTTGCATGCCGACGGATGTACGAAGATGTCGCACCTCACTGCGAACAGTCCATTGCAATCCAAGATTTTTTCTCGCTCGAATTGTTTTTAACCAGAATTTCCCGTGGGGTTTTGGCAAATGGCCTCTCGTCTCGCCTCAACAAAGTCTCGCTTGATGTCAAGCTCAGTAGCGACGGCGCGTTCAAGCCATCATCCCGGAAAAAGATTCTCGCCAGCTGGTCTGGAGCATGTCAAAGGCTCACATCACTCGGAAGTATTAAACATTTCCATGTTCGACTCGAAATTCCACTCTCTCAGCAAAGATCAGTGCCCGGTCACATTCATCTCCATATGATCAAGCAATTGAGTCCTATCGCTGCAGCCATACCCAAGATTGAAGTTGAGCTAATGCTTACATCAACGGTTCATCCCAAGTCGGAAAGGATCTGGGTATACCGGCCGGGTCCGACTAGACAACATCGTGGCTACGAAGTGCCGGGATGGACGGCGGAGATATCGGTATGGGGCTCATTTCCCCGACTCGACGATATCCCATCACCGCTGAAGGAGCTGTAAGCAAATTATTCGCGGCGCGCAGCATTGCAATGACGCGTTGAACGAACGGGCCAATTAGGCTTGGTGTGTATGCGATTACACCATCCGTATTTCTGTATCCATAGTATCGGTCCGGTACAAGCTTATCCGACCCCGGAGTCGGCTCCTTTTGTTTAGCGAGCCAAAGAGCTTCATGATTCATGACGACGGAGTTAATAACTTAAGGTGTACACGACGTTCCTAACTGATCGCGTTCTTGCAATGGATATTCTGTGAGAGCCATTGCAGTAACCAGGAGACAAATTCTCTCCTGTAAAGCCCTCGGAATCTTCCGCCGGCTCGACGGAAAGTGACGATAAAATAAATTGGGATCCCTGCCGGTCTCTCGAAATCTCACTCCGCAATCGCACTCATCTCACCCTCACAGACAAGATGGCTGCAGACGTGAGGCAAAGACAGGAGCAGGCGCCCAAGCCTGAAGTGAAGAACTACAAAGGCTTCGTTGCCGGCGTGTTCTCCGGCATCGCGAAACTCTCAGGTTTGTCATTCATTGCTCACGGCGCTGCCAGGTCGTTTCAATCACTGACACTGCGAAGTCGGCCACCCGTTCGACACAATCAAGGTCCGTCTCCAAACGACAGACACATCTCGCTTCAGCGGACCGCTCCAATGCGTCGGCCAGACACTACGCAATGAGGGAATCCCGGGTCTTTACAAGGGCGCCACGCCGCCCCTCGTCGGCTGGATGTTCATGGACTCCGTCATGCTCGGCTCCCTGACGGTCTACCGCCGCCTCGTCGCCGAACGCCTCTTCAAACTCCCCGGTCCCGAGAACCTGCCCTCGTATGGGCACGGTATTGCGGGCATCATGGCCGGCAGCACCGTCAGCTTCATCGCGGCGCCCGTCGAGCACGTTAAGGCGCGCCTGCAGATCCAGTACGCCGCCAACAAGGCCGAGCGGCTGTACAGCGGGCCTGTCGACTGCCTGAAGAAGATCTACTCGCACCACGGCATCCGCGGCGTCTACCACGGTCTCAGCGCGACACTGCTTTTCAGGGGTTTCTTCTTCTGCTGGTGGGGCAGTTACGACGTCTTCTCGAGGTGGATGAAGGATAACACGAAGCTGAGCGCGCCGGCGATAAACTTCTGGGCTGGAGGATTGAGTGCCCAGATTTTCTGGTTGACGAGTTACCCGTCGGACGTTGTGAAGCAGCGCATTATGACGGATCCGCTGGGAGGTGGACTGAACGACGGCACGCCGCGGTTCAGGAGGTGGAAGGACGCGGCAACTACGGTGTATAGGGAGAGCGGATGGAAGGGATACTGGCGCGGATTCTTGCCATGCTTCTTGCGGGCGTTCCCTGCCAATGCGATGGCGCTGGTTGCATTCGAAGGTGTCATGCGCGCCCTACCAGAGTAGACATAGTGTACACTTGTAAAAAGGGATAGACATGGGTGGACACGCGCTTATCATAGACTGTAAAAGGATACCCAGAATCACTTCTCACGGATGCATCAAGGAACGAAAATGTGTGGTGGCAGATCAACAAGCACACGAGGGTGCTAACTTTTGGTATTTCCCTTTAACCTTGCCAAAATCAGTGCCCATGCCGACCCAAGTAACCTGAACCCGACCCATGCACACGTGAAACCATGTTACTGGTCACGTTTACTCGTCATCCTCATCAGCCTCGTCGTTGACGACGTTGAAGAACTTGAGCTCGTAGACACCCTTGGAGGTGGAGACGACACGGAGCCAGTCACGGAGCTGCTGCTTCTTGAGGAACTTCTTGGTCCTGCGGGGTAACGAAAAGTCAGTCATTTGCGTGATGCGACTGCGGGAGCCAGCTGTTGCGGGAATACTCACAGGTACTTGAGGTAGCGGCCGGAGAGCTCGTTGTGGGCGATGATCTCGATCTTGCCCTCACCCTGCTGGGAGATCTGGACCTGGTCGCCGAGGTTGCCGACGCGACCCTCAACCTTGATCTTGTCCTGGAGGAACTTCTCGAAGGCAGCGACGTCGAAAATCTTGTCGGAGGCGGGCTGAGAAGCGTTGATGATGAACTGATGGCGCCAATTGGTTAGCATTCTGTGGTTGACCGGATCGCATTGCGTCTTGGAGGATTGGGTTCTTACCTTCTTGGTGACCTTCTGGGCCTTGCCCTTGCCGGTGCGCTTGATCGCCTGTTGAAAAAATGACCTTAGCCTACTGTTTCACGCCGCCGCCTCTTTCGAGGCTTGGCCAACAGCAAAGCGATGTGATCATGTACATACTGCTTGAGGAGCCATTTTGGACGGATGTGTGGAACGCAAAGAGGTATGATCCTGCGTCTGTGGGTTGTGGTGTGGTGAGGGAAGAGAGGTTTTTGTCTTCTGAGATCGCTGCAGTCCAAACTTCACGAAATTCCGCAGGTGGATTTCCGTTGTGGGCTGGAAAATGCCCGCGAAAAAAAATTAGGGCAGCGGAGCAAAAGTTCTTCCGGGCAGCGCCCACCGAGGTGAGGACTTGGACTGGACAGGACACTGATTGTAGCACACTAGCCATATTTAGAAGGTGGGTCTATCCCTGAACCCTGAACACTAAGAGGTTGGTTCCCTTCACCATTCATCATTGTCTTCCTTCAACTCCATACCTCTTCCCTCCAGTGTTTTTTTTTGCAAAGGACTTCCTCGAAGGTCGAAACTGGAATCGAGAGTTCGAACACCGGGATAATACTATTGTTTGCCTGGCCTTCTGCCTGCACCCCCACGTCAGAAATACCGTGCATGCCGCAGCGTGAATCACCGGAGTCATCCCCAGAAAGCCGACCGCGAGCCTGTCATTGGCCGGCTTAACATGCATCTCTGTTTCGTCGAGTCGCACGGGTCTGCAGTCAAGAACCAGTCAAGTTTAGATCGCCCAAAGTGCCGGCTTCTCGTGCCCTCGAATCGCTTCCTAAGGGGGTTCTCGTGGCATGTGTTGCGGCTCCAGGTGGACCAGCAAGAGTCCGGGGCACAGGCGTCCTGGATCCGATCATTCTCTGATGCTTGTCGGATCTTGCATCCGCAAACCGTTGCCAACTCCAACTTGAAACGAATGACATGCACACAACAAATGGAAATAGCCTAAGCACCTCGTATTCGAGGCAAGCGAACGATGTCATCCGACTTCGTCCGCGCCTTCTGGCGAATAAGAAGGCTCATCACGAACGACCAGTATAGAATCTCTCGGAGGACTGGCATTGCCCATCCATTACGACCAAGAAGGGCTTCCGATATTACGTCTCCAAAACTGCGGGTTCGTAGTCTCAAGGCGGGCTATGCGTATTCAGGCAACTCTTCTGAAATACCCCAACAGGGTTCTCGTGCTGCGCCATCGCTTTTTTTTATATTGACCTCGTCCAAATGGCGTTCGCGATATGGTCGCGTGCGAATACTTGAGCTCCATCAAAGGTCAGCCCAACGTCATCCGGAAGGCAGCCAAAGTCTCGGTCAACCAGGTCTGGCTGAGTAAAAGTAGGAATTCTTGATGGTAATGGCTGCCTCCTATATCATGACGACTTTGGCAGCTCGTAGTCGAGAGGTGGAAAAGAAGGGTCGGATGACGTTGATCAGAGCCATGGGCCCGCCATGGGCCCATGCAACACCAGTCGCACAACGTCGGTCTGCGGTCAACAAGTTTGCCTACCGTTGCGGTTTGCCCAAAAGGAGAACCTTCGCATTGGTCAACGATCAAAGAAGATTGAGCCAGTGACAGCCACTCCGGCCCTTGTTGTATCAGATAACAGGGTGGTTTGGCCGCATCCTATCCGCCGGAATTGACCATATATCTTGGCAGGAGAGCAGCCGAAGCATTGATACAAGTGGGGGTCAAGGCATTGGGTTGAATCGATTCGAGGAAGGTCGGCAGGCTAATCCTATGAGATTCTCTAATGGTTGATCGTCGAGTAGAACCCATCTAGGTTACTCGCAAAAGTCATGGTCGTCTGATAACCGCTTGAGAGTTGCGCATCCGCGAAGAAAGGCTGTCCCCATCGCCGGTTATCGTCAACTTGGGCTCCCTCTCTCGGCGCGCTGAATGATGGAGTTAAAGGAGTGCCTGGAGGCTGTGATAAGATGGATGGAGGCGAAGTTATTCTTCTCCTGTCGGAGGCTGGACCTGGTTTAGCGGGAAGGATGATGAAGGAATGGGGATTGGGTGAGATGCGAGTGAGTTCCCGCAGTGCAGGGGGGCCAACTCCTTTGACGCACAGACGGGGATGTTTTGGTTCGTGCACAATCCCTCCTTCACTTGTGCATTCATAAAGCAATTATGCATAGGGCTGAAGTACGTATCGAAAAGGCCCCCAACCAGACCATCTCCATCAACGGTCACTGCAACAGTACCCGTCTTGAGTCTGGTCTGCCAGAGAAAGATTCCTCTGGTCAAATTGTTGCAAAGTTAGGCATCCAGTCCCGTGGCTGTGTATACACACAGAAGCCTGTTCCCCCGGTCAGCATTTGCGCCAATGGCAGGCTGGCCCAACGCGTTGTACACTTCGTCACGTCTACCCCTCGATTGAACGTCGACACCTTCCAATCGTCTGCCGTAGCAGCATGCTCAGCACAGTTACATTTCCGAGAACTCAAAGGCCCCTGCCTACCAATGTCTTGGTATCTTTCCTCCGATTGAGCCTCGGTGAAGTGGACCTGTCTAGCCGTAGACCATCCATCGTCTGTTCTCATTCGATGCCGGACTCCGGGCTAAAGAGCTCTCCCACCACACCACATTCGACCTGCCTGTTTGCTGTCCACTGAGATATTGTAGTTCCCATGTAGTCACCCCAGTCATCTGCCGTGAGTACGAACTCAAATTTCCATGACCAGTGTCTCCCGCGCACATGCTCGACCTGGACCAGCCCCAGGCGCCCTTCAGTGTGTCCCCAACTTATCCCACGCCCTTCTCGCCCTCCAGCATGTCTCAACTCGAAATCTGTTTGGTCTTCCTATTCTCGAATAACAGGCCCCACGGCCTAGTCTCGCCAGACGTTGATCGCGTGTTCAGCCAGGGTTGACTCATGGCGTACCCCTCGATGACGACGGGTGGACGACGCGATTTCGGGAAACGTTACAGACGACATACTTGTGGCTATCAGATGAATTGTTTCAGATGACTAACACTCCCGCTGTGGGGTGAGAAGAACTGTGCCGCGACCCAAAACTTGGGACGTCGGTTCTTGTCCGGATGGGTGTGCACCAGCAGCCGCTTCTCAGGGCTAGGCATCCTTGCTGCTCCTTCTCGACCAGGTCTTAAAATCAGGCCCCGGAGCAAGTACAATTTACGACTACCAGTATAAGGGCAGGTACATAATATTAAGAAAACGGCATTCTGCCTCATGGCTCATATGATCAGGTCACCTCCGGGTGCGCAGCGCGTTGACTACCTCATCTACGACCACTCGATCTACACCACAACGAAGTTCAGGACCCCAAACTCCTTCAATAACTACTCTCAAGCAGTTCTGGGTGCCTTCGGAGTATAGTTACATCACTTGGACACTCGTCTCGTCGCCATCGCACACCGGAGTCTTCGGTCTTCACAGTTGTGTTTGGGCTCGCAGTCGACTCTAGATTGGACCTCGACTCGAGCCGATAGGCTTTTCCGTCTCGCTGCCTTATAGTACAATTACCAGTAGCATTCAGATAGCGACCTGAGTCACTGCCTCAGTTCTCAGGTGGTGTGGACTACAATTCGATATTCTGATTCGACTTCACGGCCACGACGTTACAGCAATGGCGTACACAAGGCAAGTCGTTTATACAAGCCGCTGCTAATGGCCCCTTGGGCGGCGAACATATAACATGAAATCCTTAAAACCTCCAAAGCACATCTCCCCTAACTTTCCTCAGGATCATCTCCCAACGCACACAGACTGCCGCAGCTATGATGAGAATTGCAATCGCAGGGGCGGGTGGTTTCGCTGCTATCCTCGCTCACAACATCGCTCTAACAGCAAACGCGCTAGTCGTTCTCTCAAGAGAGGTAAAAGGAACGTTTCTCTCTTTCAGACAGTAGCTCATGTCGTCTCAGCCAAAACCAGAGTTTGAACAACGCTACGAGTGTCAAGTGGCCGTCGTTGACTATGACGATGAAGAGAACTTGAGATTCGCCCTCATGGGAATCGACCTCGTCATATCCACCATCCGCGGACAGGAGCAGATCAACCTCATCAAGGCCGCCCGCCATTCCCGCGTCCGGCTATTTGTCCCCGCCGAATTCGAAGGCTGCATTTCTCACCGACCATCAACATCTGACCATCCCCTAGACTATGGTTCCAATGAAGCTCTGGAGCTTCTGAAGCACTACGCCAACTCCAGGTCTCGCAAGATGGATTACACCGTATTCTCTTGCGGAATACTATACGAGCGCTTTGCGCCAGGCGGTTTAGCAGAGTACGGAATGGGAGCTCACCAGCACATACAGGGTCAAGGCAGCTATCTTGTCGACGTCGGCAACGCAACCGCCGACATAATCGAGACAAACGGCTCAGGAAGGCCAGTTCAGGTATCCATGACCTCGGTCGCTGACGTTGCTCGGTTCGTTGCTGCTGCAATCGAGCTGGGTCCAGGCACCTGGCCGAGGGAGTTCAGGATGCGTGGAGACAGAATGTCTGTTCGGGACATCTTTGCTAAATGCAGTAACGTCCGAGGAGGTGCGCATCGTCCCGCCCCTTGAGCTGAAGCGCAAAGTCATGAGGTTCATTTCACTAAGTTTCATTCAGTTGCCTTCTCTCTTCGAACCCGCCGATACTCTAAACTCCAAAGTGACCTCTCCAGCTACGAACAAAGGCAGAACTGGGACCAGTGGTGGAACATCCAGAGATTCATCGCCACCGCTGATGGTCGTTACGATTTCCGCCAAACGAATCTCAACGAGGTTGTCGACATCGAGCCCGTCAGCTTCAGAGTCTGGCTGGAGTCACAATGGGGTTCTGGTTGACCGGGATGGGAATATGCATCTGTCCTTTTATGCAAGTATGAACGTGACGGTTTCTTTTCTCCCATCCACCTTCTCCATCGTCTCTGGGTGCGATGGTGCGCATCTCACTTTCAACCAACTCTCATTTGACTATTGCAAGACTGAGTAGCACATGCATCATGCATCATGTATGTGCTGCCATGGATTCACTTCTAGGCAAAGCACTGCCTCTCGACTTAGATCACACGTTCGCTGCAAGTAGTGCCATGAGCACCAACTGAGTCCCAAGACTCTGTATTGCAGCAAATTTCATAGCTCATCAATCGTATAAGCTGTTATTGCGTCCTATTTTCCTATGAACGTTTGTGAATGTCTTCTCAGGTTCCGCAGTGATTCAAGGAGGCCTCACGAAGAGCTGAAGTACCGATCTCCGGAGGAAGCAACCCAAAATCGGTGCTCTGGAAGCCTACGAATCCTTCGAACTTCAGCCGGTTTGGCTGCAAACTTCATCGATCAGCCTTACCAGGCAAACCATTCGAAAGGCAGCAACATCGTCCCCTGAAACGGCTCCGGCTACATGAATTAGCGCAGGTGCGTTGACGCACATAGTCCCAAGTCCCAGGAAACCCACCCATCCCCCGTGCTGCGCCTCCCAAAAGGGGTTACATTTGCTGACATTTCCCCTCGCTCCGACGAGCTGGTAACAGTCTCCCATTGGTCAATTTTACTCATGTCGGCCAATTTCAGACCTTCTGCTGAATCCTGGCACATGTACGGATACCCAAAAGCGGTAGATGGGCCGTCGCTCCGGGTGACGGCATGGGAAGGAACCTTTGGCGTGCGCGCGCCTGCAGGGCCCTTTGCTCGGAGCTTCCGCGTGCGATTGGTGATGATCGAATATGTCCAAGAGATTGAACATCGTATCTCAACGTCACTCTATCTTTCGAATCTTGTTTTGCACGGTGAGAAATTTGACACCCATCAAGGCAGCTGGACGCCTATCGTACGGTGTAGCCTTACTATATTGTATGTTGTGTTGTATTCATTCTTTTGTAACCCCAAATTCCAGAGCCGCGTTGAATGCCCCTGTTTCCGCGGTGTTGAAGTCGTAAACCAATATGACCAGCCAGTTGATGTAGCTCCGTTACTGTTGAACTCCGTTGTAGACATGCTAAATTCCGTTGCCTTTTCGCCTCAACTGACGCTCCTCTAGTCCGCCCGCCCCTTTAATTTCCTTGTTGATTGATCACTCTCTCTTGTCATGAGGGTTGAAGTACCCGGCCCCCCGTCTCTTACGCCTTGTCGGACTCTTCACCGAACTCCTCAACGATCCAGAGACAGAACTTCTCCCACTCAGTCGACCACTGCTTAAGCCGCTCAGCCTTGACACCAGAACCAAGGCTTGCCTCCTTGACACCAGCGGTCCACTCCGCCGGCGTCTCATCCTCGAACGCGGACCACCGCACGCTGTTTTCCGCCAGCGAGCCGAGGCCCTCAAGGCCGACATTCTCCCAACCCTGCAGCGCCTGCCAGTAGTCGTGGGACATGCCCTCCGTGTCTTGACCCAGCATTGCCGGATCATCGTTACACAGCGCGCAAGACACGCCACGGGCCAAGAGCGCTGGGAGCGGGTGCGACATGATGGAGCCGCAGAGACGAAGGACCTCGTTACTGATCGGGCAACTCTCGACAAGGATACGCTTATCCTTGACCATGTCAATGAGCAGTGGGTGCTTGTAAAGCGAGAAGCCGTGACCAATACGGCGCGTGCCGAGTAGCACGGCATCGAAAAGGTTCTGATCCGTCGCGTCGCCGTCGCCCAGCGTCTCACCGGCGTGGAAGAAGAAGGGAAGGTTGACGCCTTCCTGGGCGCACTGCTTGCGGAACCAAAAGAGTTCGGGGAGCAGATCGCGGAGCGGTCGTCCCAGATCCTCCTGGCCAACGAGATCGTAGCCTGCGATAAGGTGAGGCCAGGCCATCTTGGTGGTGATGCAGTTGTCCATGCTCTCGACAATTTCGCGGGTAGGAAGGATACGAAGGGTTGTCCAGATGGTGCGCAGACCCCAGAAGGCGGCGTTCTCTGACTTGAAGCGCTTGACTTCTTCGTCAATGACCTGGAACATGTGGTTGTAGTCCTTCTCGGGCTCCTCTTGGCTGGTGCGGCAGTAGTTAAGGGGCCAAGTGAATCTAATAACGTTAGTACATGCCTTTCCGTGGTGCTGGAAATGCACTCTTACCTGACTTCAACCCAGTAAACGCCGTCAGCCAGCAGTGATGACATTAGCCTTCTTAGGAACGCTCTCAGAATGGGCTCGTAGTGGATGATGGTATTGGTCACCGTGAAACAATCGGCAAACTTGCGCCAGATGGCATCAATGCCATGATGCTGCTCCACACTATCCGTCAAGGAGATGGTGCAGCGTCCCTTCAGCCATTTCAAGAACCCTGGCCTTCCACCATCCGGAAACTCATCCGCCGCCGTGGTCAACAGTCTGAACTCGCCAGGGACGTAGTCCTTGTCCCAGACTGCCCTTGAGCTGGTCTCCTTGTTTCTGAATCTGAAGTGAACGCCCGAAGTCGCCAACGCCTTTTCGTTCGATAGAGGTTCATTCGCTGCAAAGTGCATTCCTGGCTCATTCAACAAGACCTCAAATAGGAAATCAAAGTCAACCATGGCGTCCAGATGAGCGTGAAGGAGCGAGCCCTTGGGCATCTTTTGCACGATACGCCACAGTCTTGTGGTCTCGAGGCGCTGCTTCGCCAGAGTGAACATCATGCCCGGGAAAGGGGCCAGACCCTGGCTGGTCGCGAGGTCTTCCTCAGCCTGAGCATTCCATGTCGTCTTCTTCTCCTCCTCACGGATGCGGGCAACGATGGCAGCCGCACGCTTGACAATCGGCGAAGAGTTGGCGCGGAAGGAGGCATCCGAGCGAGACTTCTGCTCCTGGGCGATAAGAGCCTCGCGGCCGTTGATGTATTGTGCCAGGAAAGGTTCTGAGGTCGATGGAATCTCCTGGCGGATCTCCTCCCAATCGTCGTTGCTGAGAGACATCTTGGACGTTGGATGCGGGGTTGTTCTGGGAGAGGTGAGATCAGGTGAGATGCTCGAGGGTTGCGCGCCTAGCGACTCTTTATCGAAGTCCGTTGGATGAGCCTTTGTTGGTAACTAAAACGCCGAGAAAAATGTGGATGCTGACGGCCGGGAGATAGACAGGGATGCGTGGTGTTTCCGTCCGGTCGGGTCCGGTGCTGCGATATGGAGGACGAGTGGTTGGTGGTGTACGTGTTGTGTTGCCGGCGGATTGCGATGGAATTAGGCGGTTGACGACGGTGAGGGGCAACGCGGGGTTGTAATGGTCAGTGCGCTGATGTCCACCAACGGGTCCCACTCCGGAGCCCCGATCCGGCGAGCTGGTTATGGAAGGTGCGGCAGGCGGGGGCCTTCGGCGCCGGGGCGCCGTGTCCGGTTTATCCAGGCTTAGTCCGGCTTTCAGCGAAGCCGGGATGACTCATTGGTGACTCTGACTCACAGACTCGTCCGATATTCTGGTTTGTACACGAAAATTTGAGCGACAGTAGTCTGATCTAACTGGTTGCCTAATATTGTCTTGGCCTCGACAATGGGCTGGAACAGTGGAAACAAATTCTGAGTGTTCTGAGATCACAGCGACTGACTGATTTCATCTGAGATCATAATGTTGAAGAGATTTCACCCTTGTTATGGGGATCTGATCTTACTGGATTATAGCGAAATGTGTTTTACGATGAACGCTTTATTCAATTGGCCATGCTAAGGGGCCAAAAATATCTAATCGAAGGACAAGATTTCTTTCTATGTGAAATGTTGGAGCCTCACTCTTCGTCAACTACCTCAATCTTCCGAACGGGCCACTTCTTCGAACACCAAAGAATGACCAGTGTCAGAACAATCTCCAACGCAAAGAACATCGTGGCCATCTCGTATCCAATGGGGAACTTGGGTGCGTCACCTGTGTTGTACACCAACAGTGGCACCCACGCCTGAAAGGTGAAAGCCGCCGTTTCCACGACACCAATAATGACAGCACGATGCTCTGCGGAATGAGAGCATACCTCGTTGACCCAAGTAATGATGAGAGCCCCGGCTCCGGTCTCGAGAAAGGTGAGGATCCATGCCGCCATCATAGCTGGTATGTTGTCCTCAGGATAGACGCTCAAGATCACCGTACCGGTGATGGATACGGTGCAAGCGACTATGACGAGAGGCCAGCGAAGACCAATCGCGTCACTCGCCCACGCATAGGACAACGTAAAAAAGACCTGTGCTCCATAGCCCGCCGTGGGGATCAGATTGATCTCTTCCGGCGTGAACAGGCCTGTGGATTTCAGCCACACGTTGAAGTAGGCATAGATGCGGATACCAAGGACATGTGCTATGAAGATGGCACTGAAGAGCCAAACCGGCCAGCCCTTGGCTATGTCTTTGATGGTGCGCCAGGTGAGTTTGCGGATGGGTTCACGGCCGCAAGCTTCCATGCGCCCGATGGCCATTCTACGATCGTCAGGCTTGAGCCACCGAGCTCGAGACGACGTCGGCTGATCTGGGATAGCCCAATAGCCGTAGAGACAGACTGGAATGCCGATGATTCCTACAATTTCTATTAGTTAGTGCTGCAGTGATTGAAAAAGCAAACCCTCATACCGTCAAAGATGAAAAGCCATTGCCACGCTCGAACTCCGTTCCGGTAGTCCATACCAGCAAGGAGACCAGCCTGGAGATACCCGGAGAACATTTGCGCCACAGCCGATGAAGCTTGGAAGATACAAGCTCTTTTCCCAAGTTCTTGTGGCGTATACCAATTGCCGAGGAGAGTCATGATTCCAGGATAAGCCGATGCCTCCAGCAGGCCCGTGATAAATCTCAGGGCGCAGAGAGTTTGCACGTTTTTCGCGCCGGCCATGCCCATGACGACAAAGCTCCAGATGAGCTCCAGTGACGGAAGCCATATAGATGGGCGAATACGAGTCAAAATCAACTGGGA